GAGGCTACTACAGAGCTATGTTTGTTTTTATAAATTTCTTGCTTAATTGTTTAATTTGACTTTGTAGGAAACTAAGGAAGTAAGAATCATGACTTCACATGAGAACAATTATGTCCAATCAGTATCAGCGAATAAAGGTATGTATAGTTATTTGGGGATACAAGTAAACTCTTTTGATATTTTAGACGGTGAAAACATATACAGTGAGATCAACAATGACAAAAAAACGTCATCATTATAATGAACTATTTCCTTTGCTTTTATCACTATTATCATTTTTATATCAGTAGTGCATTTTATTTTTTTTACTGCATCATTTAGTAATGATAATAATTGTAGTTAGAGGACAAAAAATATCGATTTAACTGTCCATTAGTGAAAGAAGGTAAAGAGGAATGATGAAAATAAAATAAGTTCAAAATACATGTATCATTGTGATCAATGTTGTGAAAGAAAGCAGCTCCATCTTCCTTCTATGCACATCAAGCTCTCAGTGATGGATCAATATCAGCAAAGTACTCGTGTCTCATAGCCTCTTCTGCTGATATCCTCTCAGTTGGGTGACATATCAAGTGACGCTTTTGCAGTGATAGTATTAAAATAAAGAATAAATCACAGTGTCATCTTACCTGAAGTAAGTCCACTCGGCATCGTTCAGTGCTGGTACTACTGACTCAATACATGCTGGAGGATATGGTGGGAACTCCTATCAAAGCAACAGCTGTCGTTACTAATTCAAACAACTAGGGTCTCTTTAGGTTTTTGGTATTGTGTTAAGCAGTGAATTTTTTACAGTTGTACCAAAATTTGGCAAAAGCACAGGATATTTGTTTGTTTTGGGGAAGAAGTCTCAAGTTTTATATTTTTTCTGATGCATATACATGTCCTTATGTTCTGTACAAAGTTTAAGCTGATTCTGATCAAAATTGGACTTTATACTAATCTTGAAAGTTAAAAATTTTAAAATTACTCCACTATTCATAAAGCATGCTTTTTAGTTCCCTTGTTATGCTTTGTGGGGAACCCTGTATACAATCTTGCCTTTACCTTAAACTCTGGAAGTTTAGTTAGACCAGGCCACGACCTCTCTGTGGGTGTACCGACTAGCCTAACAGGTCAGGCAAGTTACAATAACTAGTTTGTCTGGTTTTACTTAAATATTCTCTTTAATTGTTCATCAACAATTAAATCTAAAAGGGTAATTAATATCTAAAAGGGTTTGAATTTAATTTAATTTAATAATTTATTGAATTTTACTCTATTATTTATGACATTGGTCACCTCCTTTTGCTAACGACGGCAGCACTCATAGCACTGAACCAAGAGGGTACTAGTGGGTATTGCTGATGGACCGTTACTAGCTAAAAAGGTTCTCGGGGAATTAATAAAACCAATTGATTACCGTATAAGGAAAGTGGAGAGTATATTATGCGACGTGAAGTGTGGGCT